TGGTCACTGATGTCAATGGGAACTTCACATCTGTGCCTTTGGTGGGAGTGGGGGAAATCCAGCCACAAAGCCTGGATGTTCAAAACAGCCTGTAAGACCCAGCACGTGTGCCAAAGTAAAAGCTGCCATGGGCTAACCACTTTGAGAAATCAGCTCTCATGTGATCTTCTAGTCACAAAATAATTTTCAAGGCAGATCTATGAATTAAAACCCAGTGTCTCTTGAGGCCTAGCTCTCAAATAAGGGACCACCCCTCCTATCCCCTCCTATATAATGCACACGCTTTCCCACCTATACATAGTACAAAAGCAGAATTCATCATCAGGAGTGCAGATGCTTTCTTCTTAGACTGCCACAAATGCAGGGACTCAGCTTGTGGGAAGCACGACGTGCCCAGCGACAGCTCTGAGACAGCAGCATAACTAGGGATGGGTGAATGGGGCCCCAGCCTGGGCATGCAGTTATAGCAGGAGCAAGAATGGCAGCTGTTGCCGTCGTTGGCTCAACCACAGCCACTGCCCAGGACTCAAAACTTCCTCGTTACACCTCTGCTTGCAGACTTTGGACCTTATTTGAACATCTCCTGCTAGAAGGCCCTGGCAGGCAAAACCACTGTCCTCCTCCTCCTCTCAGTGCCATGTCAGTCTATTTATTTGATTCTGGAAAAAAAAACCCAAAAAACTTCCCTACACATCAATCCCTCTGGCTCCGTTTTAATCCCAGATGCCACAGTATCACTTCTGGGATGCTACGAATACTCCCATTGAACCACACAGGGGTATGGTATTATTATCATCATCATCATTATTAATAATAGTAATAATACAAAAATCCCTGTAACAATAATCTTTCCTCTATGGCAATGAATAAGTATACAGTCTCTGGAACATAATTAACAGCTGGTCCTAGCAAGGCAGCGGAGCTGATGCTCTCCGAGAGGCATACATGAGCATCTTTCTCTGAACTGAACCTACCCTTTGGGTGAAACCCTGGCCCCACTGAAGCCACGGGGAGCTTGAGGCTTACCATGCATCAGGATACTAGCCACGTTGCTCAGTCCAGAGCTCTCTTACCTGTTCCTACCTTCTCCAAGCACAGCCATTGCTCATTTTCCCTAATCTCATGCCTGCATTTGCACAGGACAATACAGTGCTGTGGCTTGTTTCACATGGCCCAGGAGCTGGGATGAGCTAACACAGCACAAATGCAGGATTAAAGGATTGTCAGGAGCAATAGACAGCATAGATGCTAATACAGTCTATGTCCGCACCGGCATGGAAGCTCTACCCACCAGGCAAGCACTCCCAGCATGACCTTGGCCTGGGTATGCGAGAAGAGCAATAACAAAGGAGAGGATGGTCAATCTGAAACCCCTTTCCCTAGCTCTGCTGTGGCTGCATCTAGGGGAGATCGGCTTTTGTAATTAAGCTCTCGGCAAGGAGTGCCACGATTTCTGGATGCTAAATGCTAAATGCACCAGGGCGTTGTTCCAACCGTCTTGGATGCGCTGGGACCAAGTTGTTCTTGTGAATGCCTAATTCTAGAAGACCTCCAGCCTTTGCCACTCTGGAGAGCAAGAAAAGAAAGGTTGGGGTCTCACCAAGCAGCCTCCGAGCCTGAAGCACAAATGTCTAATTAGGAGCCCAGGCGAGATCCAGAATCCAGGCGGGATCGGCAGCCAAGCCGGTTTGTTTCTCTCAGCCTCAGTGACTGATTGATCAATTAACTGCATTGGTGTCAGCGGTCTGCAAGTTCAGAGGGGATTCTGCCAGACACAGCTTTCTAATCCATAGTTCACCGACCCATAGCATTCAGTCAGCACCATAGTCTCAGGCTGGGCTGTGCATTACTTAACACACACGTGAAAACCTCACAGTTACCTCTACTCTCAGCACTAAGGTTTGACTTTATGTCCCCAGTTGCAGGATGAATCCTGGCATGTGCTGGCATTGCAGAGAGCCCCCAAACCTTTGTGCCATGTCCTCTGCAACACAGCCAGACTCTGCCATAGCTGCCCACCCGACCTCCACCGTCAGTACTCACACAATTGCTAACGTGTGCACAATGATTGGCGTGACTGACACTTTTCTGGATGGGCTGAAATCCTGACAGTCAGACGTGGTAGGCATACAATTTTCCCCTTATTGTTGGTACCAGCAGTACCTGCAATGCCCCTGTTCTGTGGCTAAACATTTGGGAACCGAAAGTGAAAATAGCCCAAATCATTTTGCTGTCAGGAAGCAGACAATAGATGCCCCAATCAGGTTACTAAGAGAAAGACTGAAGTTGTACTGCCAATTAGCTTTGACAAGACAAGAGTCAGACCATGCTTATCTCTCTCATTAGCCTATCAATTTTACTCAGTCAGAGGCAATATATCTTTATGAGGAACCAAATGAGCAGTCCTTAAACAGGTTATAACTGAAACATTGTCTGTATGGAAACAATACAGCACGACACAATCGAATCAATAATTTATATGCAGATGGAGTAGCAACAATGAAGCACAAAGCATGTGCTACCTGTGCACGCAGCACCCTCAAAATAAGGTGGAAGCACAACTGCCCACTTGGAGAGCAAACTTGCTCTATTTATTTTTCAGGGCAGGCTGGGTATAAAGCTCGCTTGTCAAGCCAGGGAAGATGAGAGGAGGCGAACTAAAATGAACAGAATGAAAACAGGGAGAGAGGGAGGGAAAGCCTTTTGGGTTAGGTACAGGCATTCAAAAAGCCCGAGACAGAATCGATTTAAGTTGCATGGTTTTCTAAGTGGCATACTTTAGCAAACAGAACACACGTTCACCCTTTGGTTGGGGGAGAGGGGTGCAAATCTGAGACGGGGTTCAGCCATTTTTAAACCGGTCGATGCGTGCTGAACTTCTGTTCTGTTACAGGTTTCCGATCACTTACACCAGCAAAAGTGTCGTGTCTGTACTCGGCTTTAAAGTTTGCTGCTGTTATACATTACTGGTTCCTGCTGTGATAGGCCATGCCACCTGCCCCTCACCCCCTTCTATTTACATATGCAAAACAGCTGTCATTTTCCCACTCAGGCACTCGCTCGCTCTCCTGAGAGCTCCCTCCAATGCATTTTAATGGTGTCACTACCGTGCATCCTCATTTTTCTCTCTGGATGTCTCTATTTATAGCTCTCGAATGTTGGCAGCTCTCTCTCTCTCTCTCATTGGTGTCAGACTTCCCACCCCCCTTTTCCATCTCTTTCTTTTTTAAAATTATTATTATTATTATATTATCATTATTATCATCATCATCATTATTATTATTATTTTAAGCCTAACAACTGCACACGACTTACCAGGATTCTGGAATGGGTTAGATATTTCTGTGGGACACTTCCTTAGGCACAATTATGGGAATGGGAATTAGACAAGTAATTGCTTTTTGTGGCTTTGAAAAAATGCCCATAGGCGGGCAACAAGGAGTGGCAGGGCTTTTTTCTAGCAACTGCTCACAAAGAATAAAGGCCTGAAGTGACAGCAAGGTCTTGCTCCAAAAGTCCATCTGGTTTCACCACTGTCTGCTCAAAAGAGAGTCATCCAAGCCTCTGAGCACAGGCTTTCCAAGCAAATACCCTGCAGGGAACCTCAGGATTTGGTTCCCTGCATCTGTGCTACACACAGAGCTGAAACAGAGGCCAACTTCAGAGCTGCCTCTTCCCACACCAGGACAGGCATGCTGATGGAGTCGCAGACCTAGCTGCTCCTTCCCTGAGCCTACGGAGGCAGAGGGATCTGGCGTACGTGTTAGGTGACGGTCGACAGCAATTCATCTGCCTCATTAGCAATCAGCAAGCTCTGAAGGAAGATCTAGCAAGCAGGATGGCTGCCATAACCCAGGGCTGTGGGAAGCAGCTGCTGCTGGTTTTGCAGAGTGGGGCCGGCATTACTCTGTGCAACACCGGGCAGAGCTGTGGCTAAGACCAGGCTCTAGTTATTCGCTACTGGGTGGATACAAAGCATATTTAACACAAGCTTGAGGTAATGTGTAGATTTCCTTGGGTAAGGAGAAGGGACATTTTAAATACTGGGAAGTTTAGGGTTCACCTGTAGAGCACAGTTAGCCTGGGCGATCAACACCAGAGTCTGGACACCTGAGTTTGCTTGTGCCTGGTGCAAGCTTTGCCACAGCACATTTAGTTGCCGGTGTTAATGTGTCCTCATAGTTTCCGCACTTGCCTGACAACCCATGGCTCTCCATACTAAGACCCTCTAGAAACCTTTCCCAGTCAGTTGTGTCAGCCACGGGAAGACTTGCCTGTCCTTTAGGAGCCCTGAGTTCCCAGCGCATTATTTTCCTTTCACAGCTTAGGTTACAGCAAAACACGGGCTCTGACCCTAGTTGTGCAAACCCTCTGAACAGGTTGTGCAAACCCTCTGAACAAGGGGCATGGGAAGCCCGAGGGGCCAAAGCAGCCTTTCCTAAACTCCGGGTGTCAGCACTTTGGCTCACAGACAAACGGGGACTGGGCAGAACTGGGACAGAAGCCAGATTAACTGTGCAGCGCAGACAGGCCCCAGGGGAGGTCCCTTCAGGCAGCGCGATGCTCATTGATAAAAAAAGTGCCAACGAAAGGGGGAAAAGGGAACTTCTTCGCTGCTCCTGCAACTCTTACCTCGTTCCAGCACTCCATATACTCCACCCCGCAGACATAAGCAGAGCAGAGCCAAGTGGCACAGAGAGGGAGGAAAGCCCTGAAGCCCTTTGTCTGCTTAACCACATCCAAACTTGGGGAACCACCGCCTAGTACTTAGTGCTGTCTTGGGGATCCAATATTTGCTTTGCAGGGTCCAGGCCTCCCATGTTGCCTGTGAGTGCACTAACCTCCAGGCTTCAGGCCCCCTCCCCTCCCTTCTCCCCACCAATCCCAGCGGGAAGCAAAACCCTTTTCCTGGCACCCCAGAGCATCCTGCCAAACAAACCCGCCTTATTCAGATAAAAGGCCTCCCGTCTGCTCCCAGCCGAAGACGGAGGGGCTCCTACCTGGCATGCGTTATACAGAAGCTGGTGTTCAAACTTCTTGATGCCCAGGATATTCTGGAACATTTCGTAGAGCTGCTCCTTGCTGAGGATCAGCTCCGAGGCCGCGCTCGCCGTCATCCGGGCCTGCTGCTTGCGGGGGTCCTCTTCACCACGGTAAATGGCGTCGAATTTCGCCATCCAGGAGCTGAGCACGGTCTCCTTGCTCAAGCCGTCGATCTCCGGCAGGCTGCGTACCCTCTTCTCAATGTGCTTCTTGAAGACTTCCCGCGAGTCGCTGGCAGAGCACCCCCCGCTTTGCACCATCCTGGCCACCCGGTCGCTCTTTAGAAACACCTGCGGAGGGGGAAAGAAGCAGTAAAAAGCAACTCTTGGTAGACTTGGCTGAAAAGCATCGCAGTGACCTGTCGGCCAACACTGCGCAGAGCCGCACCGGCCACAGATCTAACGTATTTCGACAGCGCTTTTTCCAAGTCTGTCAAATGCTGCTGGACCACAGCGCTTTCATCGGGACTTTGCGAAGCATAATGCAATCAAGTGAACTTCTGCTTTGTGTCCACGGAGTGGAAATGTCGTGATGTAATTAGGACTTCATGCGATGTTATGTTCACACTTCTCCAGATGCAGAAATACCCTGAAGGAAGGAGAATTGCATTTGGTTCTAGCAAAGGTTTTAATAACAGCAGTGGTTCTCTGGCCCAAATCTGCCCTGTCAACATGAATTTGGAGTATTTCCACTGAAATCAATGCAGTTGCTAGGATAATGAGTTGCCAGTCAGCTGGGACTCACCAGCAGAGGCAACGGTTGGCCTGTTAGACTGAGGGCTGAGGAGATGGGTTGGGGGCACACAAAGCACTCATAAGGCACACAGGGGCCCAATTCCCCTCCCAAAAGGCAGTCAGTGAGCAACAGCAACCCATGCCTGCTGGGGGGCATGTGAATAGACTGGGAGCCCAAAACTGCTTTCTGCATTGACCGGTACAGGATTATCCAGGCTTTGCATTGGTGTAAACAAGGGAAGAATCTGCCTCAAGACAACCCTGGATATTTGGCTCTGGTAAACACTTAGCAGATGCATTTAAGAAGTGTTATTCATGATAATGAACACGGCAGCAAAAGCATCGAGGGGACTAGGATGCTATCGGGCCTAACGGTGCCCATCAAGAGCACCGAGATGATGGCAAAAGGACTACAGTTTACAAGCTGGGAACAGCACTCCCCATCCTCCCTCCTCCCCCAAAACAGCATGAACCCCATGGCGTGCACGGAGCTGGGCGTGAACTGCTCCAGCAACTGTTTAATTAAAATAAATGACCCCAGCGACAGGCTACTACTTCAAAGCCGCCTCCCACTCCAGGCCGTAGCAGTAGGTAATCCGTAGCTTTCCTGGCATCTGCAGGTTGCTGCTAGCTCCTTTTCATCCGTCAGGATGGATGTGCCAAGTAGAAGGCAGAGGGCAGGCAACACAGAGGAAAGGTGCTTGGTGCTAGGACAGCCACTACATGAAAGCCTGTCTATGTGTTAGTCCATCTCTACAGGCCCCTCTCAGCAGTGACCTCTTCTCCCCAGGGATTAAAAGGATGAAGAGCTTGCCCAGGAGAGCTAATTTGCTCCTATGCACCCTCTTTTCTTGCTGGGGGAAAAGATGCCTCCCTACTTTTGAAGTAGCAGGAAGACAAGGGCACTGAGGAGCTCTGCCTGGAACAAAACTTGGTGGAAACCTTGAGCTCTTCCAGTGGGAGGAAGGAAGCAGGATGGCCAGCTCTGAAATGTCCTGGCTGTCCAAGCTGAGCTGCAGGCCTGGTCCCTCAATAAGCTGTCGTCCCCATCGAGTGCACGGCGTCAGGACTGAAGCAGGCTGCAACGATGCCTATTTACTTACACTATGATCTTTAGCTCTTCGATGTCTCTATCTCTGTGTTACAGACAGCAGGTGCTCCCCAGTAACGAAGGGAGACCAAGCTGGAGCACAGGCTGTGTGGAAAGCTGGCAGTGTGGTTTTGGTGGTAAACATGCTGCTAATCTCTTCATTGCGCAGGTGTTAATGACCCTCTCTCCTTTGTAATGGTCTGGATGTTCCACCGCTCAAGCTAGCCTTTGCTCTTTGCTTTGCTGTCTGCTACCGGCTCTGGTAATGAATGGATTTGAGCCAGCAGTGTGCCCTTGTTGCCAAGAAGGCTAACAGCATCCTGGGCTGCATTGGTAGGAGCGTTGCCAGCAGATCGAGGGAAGTGAGTCTTCCCCTCTATTTGGCACTGGCGAGGTGACATCTGGAGTCTTATGCTGTGTTTTGAGCCCCCCACTAAAGAAAGGATGTGGACACATTGGAGAGAGTCCAGTGAAGGGCAATGAAAATGGTTGGAGGCCTGAGGGACAGGACTGGTGAGGAGAGGCTGAGGGAACTGGGCTGATTTATTCTGCAGAAGAGAAGACCGAGGGGGATTGAATAGCAGCCTTCACCTCCCTGCAGGGGGTTGCAAAGAGGATGGAGCTGGTCTGTTCTCAGTGGGGGCAGATGACAGGACAAGGAGCAATGGGCTCAAGCTGCAGCAAGGGAAGCTGAAGTTGGATATTAAGAAAAACTCGCCCACAAGGAGGGTGGTGAAGCATTGGGACAGACAACCCAGAGAGGTGGTGGACTCTCCATCCTTGGAGGTTTTTAAGGCCTGGCTTGACAATGCCTTGGCTGGGCTGATCTAGCTGGGGCTGGTCCTGCTGGGAGCAGGGTGTTGGACTAGATCTTCTGAGGTCTCTTCCAGCCCTTGTTTTCTATGATTCTCTCTCACAGCCCAGCAGACTGTTGTTAATTCATTCCAATGAAGTTATATTTGTTTTTGCTTCCATCTTAAATTGAATAAGATAGCCTGGGGCCTCTAACATGTTTATAAAGCTTCTAGTTTATTTTTAATCGGGAGAAAAATATGTTGTTTTATATGTGATGATGCACCGCACCATCTTCACCCCCCTTTTCAAAATTCTACATCCGCCCATGGTTTCAGGTGCATCTGTTTGAGAAAGGGCTGGGTTTTATTCCACAGCAGATGCAGCATGGATGGGGGGGAGAGGCAAGGAGATGAAAGAGTGAAGGAGAACCTCCGCTCCCTCCCAGGTTTCAAGTGGCATTGCTATAATCAAGCCTTTTTGACATACGGTGCATCATTTCAAGGCATTTAAAAAGTCTGCTTATGCTTCATATTGAGATGCCTGTTTGCATTTGAGCTAAACATATTCCAGCCATTCCCCTTCCAAGGTCCAGAGCAGATGCAGCCAGGACATTAAGGATGCATACTGTCTCTTTCCTTTGTCAAGTTTCGACGAATTGCAGCTGACAAGCTCTGCTGGAAGGGTGGAACCATATTCCGGTGCTTTGAGAGTGATTTTCTGTTGCACTCAGGAAGGCCCTATTGACAAAACACAATCCAGTGAATGGGAGGTGAACAGAAAGTGACAGGTAGCATTTAATTAGAATTCTTTAAGTGGCCTGTAGGTTTTGAGCAGCTTTCATAAATTTGCTACCAATGAACCTAGGTGTCAATAATTAAAGGCAGGTGTGCAAATGCAGGACTGGCCTGGGTGCTGGCTACTGTACAGCTTCTCAGTTCCCAAGAAACACTGCGTAGCTCTTTGTTGCTGGGAGATTTGGGTTGGATAAGAACTGCAGAAGCCCAGGGTCGAGCCAAGTGAGAATTAAGATTTCCCATGGGCTGGAAGTTCAAAATTTTTTACTTCTGATGTCAGGATGAAGGGGTGAAATATCAGTTCTTGTGCAACAAACCAGTCCAAAGATTTTGGTGTGGAAACATGGAAACATCGTGCATGAATTAGACATTAAACAACCTTTCCCTTGGGAGCCAATAGCAAATTAACGGCCTATATACTGACTTGTTAGGTTCAGATTTGCAACTCAAGGCCTTAACTTAACAAGAGCAGGGCTCTGACATGGCAAATATCCAGTACATTCACTTAGTAAAATCAGCGCAAGCACTTTGCTGAAGAACACAAGGATTTCAGTTCTTTACATTATTTCAGCTTCAAGAAATTTCCACTAAACAACCAAAAACACAGGACTACCCTTGTCCTGAAGCTGGTCAGGACAAAGCTGTAAACAAAACAGAGCAGGTAGAGTATTTTCCTGCTTTATTTTTCTTACAAGTGGTGTTTAAAGGAGGTGTTTTCTGCTCCTTTCCCAACCCTAAAAGACTTGTGCACAGATAGATTGGCTATTCTAAAATCCAAAAACACTTATGAAGCCGTTTTGAAAATTCTTAGCATCTGTTCAGCAGAGCTTCCATAGACTAGAGCTATCAATGCCTTTTCTGAGAAGGAACATAACTCATTATCAACTTCCTTCCTGCATAGGGCAGATGGAGCTCTGAACACTAGGGCAATTCAGTGGAATTAAACCAGGGATTCATTTGCTCTTCCTCACTATATAGCAGCTCCCGCCACCACCATCTTCTATGCTTTGGGACATGGTTTAGATTCTTTTCAGTGCTACTGTTTGTTTTTTGTCTGCCTCCTATGCTCCACTTTCACAAAGTTATATAGGCCTCGCACAGACATTCAGTTTCTCCTGGGAGAGTTGGTTCTCTTCCAGGAGAAACCACAAGTGTACACATGCTCAGGCTTTTTCTCTCAGGGTAAAAATGGCTGGTCCAGGAGAAGAAGAAACTGGGAACAACCAGGGTAACATCACTCCCAGGAGAGTTTCTCTTGGGAGAGCAAATGTCTGTACATGCCAATAGAGAATGTGAAGTCTGCACCATTTATCATAGAATAGCTTGGGTGGGGGGAGAAAAGATTGTAGAAAAGCTGGTAGAGAATAAGTTATGCTACTCATACAAGTTGCAAATCCTTCCGTCCTTCCAAAACAGAAACCCTTCTACCCTCCTGAGGAAAGGCAAAGTCTGTGCAAGGAGCTGGAAGCAGAAAGCTACACAGAAGCAAGCCATCTACAGTACCTAAGGAGAGCTTTATCCGTCTTGCAAGCCTATGTACAATGCTGCATATTCTTTAGTGTGATCTAAATACTTAACATGACTGCATCCACACTTCCCTCTTGTACAGAGCACTCTTGTTGCATCAGGTAAAAGACCAGCCAAGATAAAGAGGTGATGTTCTTGCTGATATGCTCAAATGCATTTGGGATTAACTCAAACTTCAGGCAAGAGCAGTGTGTGCCGCCCAGTCACTTAGCAGTATTTCTCAGAGAGTACGCAACATGCCTTGTATGTTTGTGGCACCTTCTCCAACTTAATTTGTTTCCAGGTGAAACTCAGGATGCTGATTTTGTTCTCCATAGTCTTATGGGGTTAGGGGCATTTAATTTGCCCACATCCTTGCACCAATGGCCACCAGACTTAAGTACGGGTATAGGATTTGGAAAGAAAACATCGTACCAGCTTTACATTTATTTGATACCTCAAAAACCAGAATCATGTAAATTATGCCCAAGTGTACAAAATGTGAAGTGAAGCCTCATGAATCATGTGGCCAATCTGGTTTTATTATCAGATTGAAATGTACAAAACATGGCTATAAAAAAAATAGAAAAAAGAAGACAGCAATGACGTTATATATTGTCATATAAACAACTATGGGTTTGATGGTGATTAGCCCTACATACTAATTGGTACAATGAAGACTATTAATTCCCAGATCTAGTTAATTGCCAGAATATTCCCCCATTTTTTATTAAATAAAGGGACATGATTATATAATGTTGCTTTCTAATTAGGATTTATTGACTTGGAATGGATTTAATGGCACATATGAATTTAATGTCCGAGTATTATTGGATGTGCTCTTTTCCAGTATTACATTAGTACAATTATTGCTTACCACCAGTCTCCCAACGTCTAAAGAGACAGAGCAGCCTTGTTATCCAATGTACCCAGGCTCAGGAAAGCCTTCTTTAAGGGTATTCTAGGAGACTCATGATGACAAGTTATTTTTTCTGTTGCCATAAATGAAGAGTCAAATTGCACCTATCTATCTAAATTCAAGGTATTTTTAATCTTCTCAAAATTTAACTGACGTCAATTCCATTTGAGCAGGTTGATGTTTCCTGGGGACTGTGTGCATGCGTGTTTGTGTGCACACTGTTGTATTTGGTGGACTCCTGGCCCGTAATCATATCCCTAGACCACATAGAGGTCACTGGGCAGCCTGGAAATAATTAAGCTATTAAACCCCTGCAAGATCAAGCTATTAGGGGCTTCCCATGATTCTGGGTACTAAAACACCAGCACTTCTGTGGGACCCTGCCTCAAAAACATTCAACTTCCTGCATTTGCCTTTTTTCTGTACAGTAAGATGTGCTTATCCATCTCTTTCAGCCATCTTAAATGAAGGGAGAAAGTCTTAATAAGGTTTACCCCAAAATCTAAGAGGCAATGCAACATTTGTTCATGAGAAAGAAATATTGCAATAATCATCCCTTACCTCATAGTAACTCTGCACAGCGTTTATAAAGGCTTCATCCGCCACAATTTGGGTTTCTCCATTGAGAAAGGCCTGGAATCGATCCTTGATTGTCTGGAGTTGCTGTTTGCTTATCTGTAAAAACATTTCAAGTGGAAGAGGTCAGTTAGCATAACAGAACTGTGAAGTTAGGGAAATCGCCCCCTCCATTCCCACCAAATCTCAGTGCAATATCCAGGCACCTCATACACTGCTTTACAGCACTTTGCCTATGGCAGTCAGAAGCCAAGGGAAAGATGTGCACACTTTCACCCTGGCACATACCTGGGTTTCTGCTGTTAGCCACTACGAGGAACGTTATTCAGACTAATTACAGGCAACAATTTTTTCCACTCAAGTTTGCTCTCCAACTAAATGTATGCTTATTGCTACCTTTTCTAAGCCAGGGCTTGTTTGTTCTTTTAAATAAAAGCCCTTTTAAGCCAACTGAAATATGAGTGGCCTTTTTTCTCCTAGTATCCCTTTGTCTCTAGGTTTAAACAAAAGTGATAGACAAAATGCTCAGACACCACATGGACAAATACCAGATCCCCGAGAACCAGTGCTGATGCAGGAGAAGGCAGTAGGACAGAGGAGCAAGCTGGGAGTCTGGAGCGGTATTCCTAGGGCCTCTCCCTTTCCATTCAGTTTCCTTTTGCCATAGTCAACAGACGTGCCATCCTTCATTTATGCTGCTCACCCACACATGTTGGGACCTGGTGCATCTTCAAGGACTGCACCTGCTTTCCCCTCATGATCTGAGAGGTGCAACTGCACCTCTGGAAATCAGAATTCAGGCCAAATCCAGTGGCAATATTAACTGGTTTACGGAGAGAAGGTGCTCTCTTTCAGGCCTTGTCTAAACCAAGATTTATTAAATTGTGCTGGGAGTCTGCAGAAGCTGTTTAAGAGGTTTTTCAAATAAGGGAAGTTCCTACGCTTGATCTGAACAACTTTGAGCTTGACTTCAGGCTCCTATGCTGTGTGTATTCTCCTAATCCAGAGTAGGAGCTAGCTACCACTCTACTCAGAAATGGTTTTCCTTCAATATATGAATTACCTTTACTGGCATACCCAAAGTACCAGATAAGAGCAAGTTCAAGCACAGAACCATCTCAAGCATTTTTAAATCGTGTCATTTGGAGATTGGTCCAAAACGGTGTTAAAGAAGGTCTCGGTTTGCATACTGGCCTGGTGATGGCTGTAGCAACAGGCCCATTTTAGCCTTGTTGGGCATTCAGACCATTTTTGCACTGTTTTAGCCCACCCGTTTAAGCCTGAAACAGAAGAAGTCTATTCATGGTATGGGGTTGACCTGCATCTCAGCTCATAACCGAAGAAAGCATCTTTATGCTAACATAACCAGTCATACTAAAGGGGTTGCATGGGTTTACCTACATTAGTGTCACCAATATCTATAAGGAGACACCTGCCTGACCTTCAGCCTGGTGCCTATGTTTTTTAATGTAGAAGCTTTGCAGGACTGGAGGATAAAAAGGTAACTAGACAAGGAGGGGGGAAAACAATGAGAAAAAATCCCAGTGCTGCTACACACATGACTAATTATGTTTTGAAGGGAAAAAAGATAAGACAGGGACAAATGAGTTATTGTTGGCCAACGACTCTGATAAGGTGAGGGGTTTTGAAGCACATATGTCATTGGGAGAAGGAAATAAAAGTTGGAAAAACAAACTGATTCATTCCAGAAAGGAGAGAGAAAATTAATAGTTGTAAACTGGTTGAGCTAGCAAACTGTCTTTTTTAATGTTAGCTTTTGAAGAAGGCTCTTGAAATAAAGGAAAACAGAAAGATGGAAACTATTCTGATATAACCAAGACCTAGTAAACAGAGCTATCGATAAAAAGACAAGCTAGGGAACACTTGACAAACGCAGCCTTAAATATCATGGGGTCCAGATGATGCTTCCCACAGGTCATGATTATTACCTGTTAAACTAATGAACATTATTGGTATTGACAGGTCATGGAGGGTTGGACACAGGGCCCTTGGACACTTTACTAGTGACAGCACAGGTGCCTCAAGAGTTAGCCCAACAGCTGATGCAGGGGGTGGGGGGCTCGGGATGATAAAGTTTATATCTGGCCCCGTTACAACTCTACCCCTTGTACTCTTTAATCAGCAACAAGCTTTCCCCTTGTAGGAACCGCTATGTCAGGCATGAGGCTCAATTGCCATTTCTTGACAAATTCACGCAGTCTGACTTTGAAACGGGTTGGGAAAGAGAAAGAAAACCAATACATAAGAGACACTGAGCTCACGGGAGGCATCCAGAACAGTGCACTGGGGGAAATGGTATGAGGTCTAAGTTTTATTAAATTGTTTGGAAGAGGAGAATAAATAGGGCTGTTAATTGAAGTTGTAGATGATATAATGTTGGGAGCTGTTGTTTCAGCTGTGAGGGATGATAAAATAGGGAGACACCTCAGAGCGCAAAGACCAAATGAAATGCAATGAAAAGAACATGCACGGAGCAGAGGCATCCTGGGATTGGGAAGCACACGTCTCGGTGTGCCACGTGACAAGGAGATTCATGCTCCATCTTTCCTTTCCATTTTGCAAAAAGTGCAGCTTTTGGCATTAAAAAAAAAAAGAGGAGAGAGAGATTTATCGATTCTCTTTTAATTTTTTTAATGTCTAACTCATGACATGTCACAGGAGTTTCCAGAAGTCCCACCTCGCTTAGCAACTGTGGGCTCTCCTAACAAAGAAATATTTTCTGCTCCTCCCTTAAGCAGCAGATTGGTTGAGCGGCTTTCAAAATGAGTGATGGTGCTTGACATATTTCGAGACCACAGCATCCATCTCGTGCATCGTTAAGTACTCCAGGGTACAGTGTAAAGGCATCATTGGATTTTTCCCTTATTGACGTATATTTTCTCCTTGGCTTTCTAAACAAATGTTTTCTTGCCCTGTGGAAGACAGGCCTTTTTGGTCATATCCCATGTTCAATATTGCCTAATAAAGGGCTAACGGCTTCTTAATTATTTTTTGTTTCCAACACTGCAAGTAGCACTGGTTTATTGACCCACTCCTTGCTAGCTGTGAAGGTGATGGAGGAAGTCAATTTAACCCAAAATTAAGAACCTCTTTCATATTAGATTTAGCTCTCACCGCAGCATGGAAACGCATGGCTGGCAAATGCTCTTCTGCTGCCCTGAAGAAAGGAGCGCATAGGACCTCAGTCCATACAGGGAGAGGGAACACTGCAGGGAATAATTTGTGCATTCAAACTCTCCCAACCATGCTGCTCCGGTGGCCTTGAGTGCTTTATGTTGGTTGTAAATGTAATACCTTAGTGCTTATTATTGGGTAGAACAGAGACAAGGCACCTCCCTCACCATGTTTACCACTAGTATTATGGCAGCACCCTAGGGCTGAACCCAGGACCAGGACCTTCACTGTGCTCCACATGATACAGGCACCTGGTATGATGGTCCCTTCCCTGAAGACCTTACAAGCCCAGATAGGGAACAGTCACTAGGCAGGAGAGAGGAGGCAAGGAAAGATCATCCTCCCAGTGCTGGAGATAGATTCATAGTTGTTAGGGGCTGGAAGGGACTTTACAGATGATTGGGTCCAGCCCCTCTGCACTTGGGCAGGAAAGACCACTGGGATCAGAGGACCCCAGCCAGGTAGGGTGATGACCCCCAGAGACCGAGTTCAATCAAGCCCTGGCCCCAGAGACCAAGCTCAATGCCTCGATTTAGACCTTAAGAAAGGTTTCAGAATATTCGGCTGCTTCTACCTGGAAGCAATTCTGGCGAGCGACAGTGTAAAGAGCACAGAGATGCCCACCCCCACGCATCGCTCTGCCTTGCCATCTCTGCTTGGTCCTAGCAAGTTCTCCTGTAAGCAGTTCATTAACTGCAGTTTGGACAGCTGTTGCCTCCCCGTCAAGAGCTGGGCCGACAGGCTTGTTTCACTTTGCATTGAGAATTTGGTGGCTCACGTATGAAAGCACTTCCCCCATCCCTGTCACATGCCAAAGATGGCATGCAATAGTGCTGGAAATAATGCAGGAAAGAAGCGTGAGGCCTAGTTTGACAACACAACATGTGGGGTCTAAGCTGGGCTACCGTTCTCTGCTGTCAGACTGCCCAACATGCCTCAGCAGCTGGACCATGTTAAATTGCCTAAATCCACCTGCTGTCCCTAGGTTTGTTCCAGCACACCTACAACACGCCCCTCCAAGCCCCCTAACTCATGCATGAAGGCATCTTTTCAGCAGCATCCTACAGCTGGACTTTAGAGCACACACAACACATCAACTTGTGTGTGACCCCTTGTGTGCTTACAACAAGCACATGCTTAAATGCATCCCTAAGCCTGGACCTGAATCTCAGGAAACCCGATTTGTTGGAGGCATTAACAATAAGCTATAAAGCAAGTCAGTGTGAGTGAGCGCACGCGCGTGCACACACACACACTACTCTCATGGGCAGGCTCATGAAGGATGCCGAAGGGGCCAATACAGAGTATTTCTCACTTAGTTACCTTCCACAATGTGCTTACAAATTGCACAAAACGAAAACTGAATTACTTCTCCACTGAAACACTGATTCAATCAATACTCTACAGCAGCCCATTGTGCTGTCTTTCTAGGACACTGGGTCACGTCTTGCCTGCCTGCACCTGCAGAAACCTGCCAAAGCTGGGTTGGGTTCAGCAGAGTTAGTAGGAGACTGAACACCATACATATCCCAAAGTGACAGCACGTCAGAGATGGGACACATTAGGTGCACTGTATTCACTAGCAGAATTTATTCATTAGTTTTTTGCCACATTTCTACCCATCATTATACCTTTCATGGAGAATTTTCCCCGTACTGCAAATGCTTAGACTTATCCATTAGCTCATTCTCATTACTGGATGGCAATAAAGGAAACCATAATAATCACTGTTGCACTTCAAAGGAGTTGTAAAATGCTCTGTTTGCATACATTGATCTCTACATTTTCTAGCTGTGAATGAACATTGCTTTGTTAAGCCTATGGTGTATATACGTATGTGGTGCAGTATCTGATGGGTTTATGTATTTTCAACACAAGACTCCAGTTTGGTCTTTGGAGACACA